TCATCAGAGGTTTAGAGAAAAATAGGTTAAGAATAATTTACGGGTCAGAACTAGAAGAGATAATTGTTCAGTTGACAGATATAAAGAAAAATAAAGAACATAAAGGTCATAATAACAGTCGAATAATAATTACAAGGTAATAATAACTGACTACAGTTTAAAATGAGAAAATAATGCGAAAAACAACACAAGCCTAAAATACTGTGGAGAAGGAGATTAATCTAAATGAAGGATGAAAGATTAGTAGCGTCGTTTCAACACACTATGTTGAGGCTTGAATTGGTGGATCACTAACTCTTTAGTAATGTATAAGTTTTTAATCTAACCTCCCTTTAATCCAATCCATGCCCTGAGTGAATCAAGTGCTTCTATATTGAAATGATGATCCTTTTACATTCCCATTTTGAAACCATGTCGGGTAATATTCTGAAACGAAGTTAAAAAGTATTCACTTTATGCGCCCAATGTAACTTCCTCCATAAGAGAAAGTAAATTTATAGATACACATCAATATAATCTAAAGCGGAAGTACATCCTTAACACATCCGTGAATGGTAGGCCGGTTTGAGAAGACAATACGAAGCTTAGCTGGATAAAATGTTTTATGCTGAGATATTGAAATCCGCTTATTCAAGATTTCGGCGGTCGTATCTTCTTTAAATCTAATATTCATGAAAAGTTTTTTATCTCTTAATGCTTCCTCTGTATGCTACCTTTTTATTAGGTTCCTATCGACAAATCTAATTGGATAACCGTTTCAGATGAGTATTGGTCTCAGTTAAAGTAGTTCGTAATCGATTGTGTTATGAGAACATATTCGCCTAGTCCTAGAAAATAAAGAGCTAACCATTTAACAGTCATATTCATATCAAGTATAGAGCGTTATATTGTTGTAATGTATCGAATACACGCCGCCTTAAAGTTTCGTGGTTACCTCATTACTTTTCAAGTATTCATTGATTTAAATTTTACGATATTGTGTAACTATCACTTCACTTTATCGTCTAGAATGACGTCGAAATCAATAACACAACGAAATTAGTATTAAATCGCTCAGGTTTGTATCTAATCTATTGAGTTGATTAACGAGAATTTCATAAATCTCATTCGTGGATTGAGTAATATCTCTCTTCTGATGTCATATAACTTTGTTATCGTTCACATTGTTTCCATCAATTATTGTGATGTTTTTTTTACAAATCATGTGGAATGACATTATCACAAAATTCTGATATGAATAATATGTTTTATAACACAAAATACCTCATATTGTAAGAAACTAAGATATCTGATATTTGAAGATGACCACTCAGTATAATGAATCGATTGAAGTTAAGTAATATAAATCATCGGATACCGGTTCATTGGTCACAACGTAACATGAAAGTACAGAACACGGGTGGGGACAACCGAATTGTATTTAGCACAAAATGACAGAGTTAGTTGATAAAATAGAAAAACCATGTAGTAAATCAACTCCGCCTGTAGCTCTTATAGGGTTGCTGCCGGTCCCAAGCCCGGGTAAAGGAGGAGGGTTGGGCATAGGGTTAGCGTCCCCATCCCGTAGAAAACTAACTCGCTAAAAAAACGCTTACCAGAAAAAATACTCCAAACCATTTTAACTCTGCCCTGGGAGTTAGAAGGTCTTCATTTAGAAGAATTATGACGCTTCATGGCGAAAGCCGAGTTCCTTTGAAAGCCAAGAGGCCGATGCCCCTTCTAACAACCAGAGCAAAAAATTTTATAGGTACATGGAACGTTCGAACAATGTGGGAAACCGGGAAGACCAGTCAAATAGCAATAAAAATGAGGAGATACAACTTAGCAGTACTGGGAATCAGCGAAACCCACTGGACCCAAGCTGGACAGAAAAGGCTAGCTACGGGAGAGATGCTGCTATACTCCCGTCACGAAGAGGACAATGCTCCACACACTCAGGGAGTCGCTCTTATGCTGTCCAAAGTAGCACGAAATGCACTTGTAGGATGGGAATCTCACGGATCCAGAATCATCAAAGCATCATTCAAAACAAAGAAGGAGGGGATCTTAATGAATATTATCCAATGTTATGCACCCACCAATGATAGCAACGACGAAATTAAAGATCAGTTCTACGAGCGGCTCCAGTCAATCATTGAGAAATGCCCAAGAAAGGACCTCACCATTCTAATGGTAGATCTAAATGCCAAAGTCGGAATAGACAACACTGGATATGAAGATATTATGGGACGACATGGACTGGGAGGAAGAAACGAAAATGGAGAAAGATTTGCAAATCTATGTGCATTCAACAAATTGGTCATAGGAGGCACAATATTTCCACACAAGCGTATACACAAGGCTACATGGATCTCACCGGACCACACTACAGAGAACCAAATAGATCATATTTGCATCAACAAAAAATTCCGAAGGACAATGGAAGATGTGAGAACCAGGAGAGGAGCTGACGTAGCTTCAGATCACCACCTAGTTGTAGCCAATTTGAAACTGAAGCTAAAAAAGAACTGGACAGGTGGACAAACAGCAATACAAAGGTTCAATACAGCCTTCCTTCGAGATACTGTCAAACTCAATGAATTCAAGATAGCTCTCAACAACAGGTTCCAAGCCTTACAAGATCTACTGAAAGAAGAAGAAACTACTATGGAGGACAACTGGAAAGGCATCAAGGAAGCATTAACTTCAACGTGTCAAGAGGTTCTTGGTCTAAAGAAATACCATCATAAGGAATGGATCTCTACAGAAACACTGGACAAGATCAAAGAAAGGAAGAACAAGAAGGCAGCAATAAACAACAGCCGAACACGAGCAGAGAAAGTCCAAGCACAAGCTGAATACATAGAAGCAAACAAGCAAGTGAAGAGGAGCATTAGAGCCGACAAGAAGAAATACGTAGAAGAACTAGCAACGACGGCAGAAAAAGCTGCTACAGAAGGAAATATGAAACAGCTTTACGATACAACGAAGAAACTATCAGGGAAATACAGTAAACCAGAGAGGCCGGTCAAAGACAAAGAAGGCAAGCCAATCACCGAAATTCAACAACAGCGTAACAGATGGGTAGAATACTTCGAAGAGCTCCTGAATAGGCCGGCTCCAATGAATCCACCAAACATCGAAGCAGCACACATAGATTTTCCTATAGATGTCAATCCACCAACTACGGAAGAAATTAGAATGGCCGTCAGACAAATCAAGACCGGGAAAGAAGCAGGACCCGACAACACACCAGCTGAAGCACTGAAATCGGACATCGAAGCAACCACAAGCATGCTTTATCTTCTATTCAAAAAGATTTGGGAGGAGGAACAAGTGCCGATGGACGGGAAAGAAGGACACCTCGTCAAGATTCCAAAGAAAGGAGATCTGAGCAAATGTGAAAACTACAGAGGCATAACACTACTGTCAATACCAGGGAAAGTCTTCAACAGATTGTTGCTGAACCGGATGAAGGATGCAGTAGACGCCCAACTTCGAGATCAACAAGCTGGATTCCGTAAGGATCGGTCGTGCACAGACCAAATTGCAACACTACGGATCATCGTCGAACAATCAGTTGAGTGGAACTCATCACTATACATCAACTTCATTGATTATGAAAAGGCATTCGACAGTGTAGATAGGAAGACATTATGGAAACTTCTTCGACACTACGGAGTTCCTGAGAAGATTGTCAATATTATCCGGAACTCATACGACGGACTACAGTGCAAAGTAGTGCATGGAGGACAGCTGACAGATGCATCCAAGTAAGGACCGGAGTCAGACAAGGCTGTTTACTCTCTCCCTTCCTCTTTCTTCTGGTGGTCGACTGGATTATGAAGACCTCAACATCTGAAGGACAACACGGAATACACTGGACAGCTCAGAATCAATTAAACGATTTGGACTTCGCAGATGACCTAGCCCTCCTATCACGTACACACGAACAGATGCAGATGAAGACAGCCAGTGTAGCAGCAGTCTCTTCATCAGTAGGCCTCAGCATACACAAAGGGAAAACTAAGGTCCTCAAATTCAAAGCGGAGAACAGCAATCCACTCACACTTGATGGCGAAACTCTGGAAGATGTAGAGTCCTTCACATACCTAAGAAGCATCATCGATGAACAAGGAGGATCCGATGCAGACGTAAAGGTGAGGATCGGCAAAGCAAGGGCCGCTTTCCTACAATTGAAGAACATATGGAACTCAAAACAACTTTCAACCAATATCAAAGTAAGAATCTTCAATACGAACGTCAAGGCAGTTCTACTGTATGGAGCTGAAACTTGGAGAACTACAACAACCACAATCAAGAAAGTGCAAGTATTTATGAATAACTGTCTACGCAAGATACTCAACATCCATTGGCCGGATACCATCAGCAATGGCCTTCTGTGGGAGAGAACAAACCAACTTCCAGCTGAAGAAGAAATTAGGAAAAGACGATGGAAGTGGATAGGACATACATTACGTAAATCGTCAAACTGCATTACGAGGCAAGCCCTAACTTGGAATCCTGAAGGGAAGCGGAAAAGAGGAAGGCCAAAGAACACATTTCGTCGGATAATAGAAGCAGATATGAAAACAATGAATTACAACTGGACGGAGCTAGAAAGAATTGCCCAGGACAGGGTTGGATGGAGAATACTGGTGAGCGGCCTATGCTCCTTCACGAGGAGTAACGGGCGTTAGTAAGTAAGTAAGTAATGTAGTAAACGTTGTTTGC